AATTTTTTAGACAATTAATTGCTCAGCAAAATTTATTAACGTGTCAGGCCTACATGAAGCAACATAAAAAGATTTCCCATAATCTTTTTATGTTGTTAATGGTTCCCATTTAAATATGCCTCTTCCTCCCCATGTTCTTGCATTGAACTGCCAAATTACCAATTTGCATATGGAAACAAGAAAGAAAATCAACTTGTCATGAATACAAGACATTTTCAGTGTCGGATAATCTGAAAAAAAAAAATACAGCCAAAAAAACTAGTTAGAAACTGGAAAGATCTGTGGATTTGTGTTTATGATGAGGATTGAAGTTTGTAATGTGATTTATTAAAAATGAATATTGGAAAACGAGTATTGATCCCGATAGTTCTGCGGTAATCCATAAAGAATAACATGAATGTCTGTTGCTCTGAATTTTTGTTCTTCCTGTAACCATGCAATAACACCAACATAAACATCACGTTTGCTTGTTTTGTAATCACTAAAATGATCAATTAAGAGGTTAAGAATTGAGAATTAAATCTTCATGTAAAGTGGGAAGCGAGACCCCCTCAGAATCTTTTCCCACATTTTAGCTCAGCAAATCTCTACACTTTATTATTTACCTCAAATAATTTACCTAGGATTCAGCGTTTTTGTGCCTGTGCATTTGTTGCAGTTGATCCGTGAATTAGGGAATATCAACGTGAAGAAGAAAGAGCCTCCGTTCTGTTACCCGTACAGCTTCAAGGCCAGGGTGTTGGTGCTCTCACATCTGGCCCGCATGGAGGTGTCGGAGAATTTAGAGGAAGGTAGGACTGATCAGCTGAATTACATTTTAAATCTTCAGTTCGTCCATTGTTGTTCTTTTAAATTCAAACACTCGTGAAGCTTCTTGTTGTGGCGTTGTAGTTTTGAAAATATAATTTTGGGTATTGCAAGCATTTGTTTGTAAAAGTCTCTGAAGCAGCAGAGGTGTTTGAGAATGACGTCTTGAGACTTCCAGGAACTAAAACAGCCCCACAAGCTGCTGAGCGTTTGATAAACTGGAGGAAATTCAAACACACGGAAGGAAAAGTCATTAAAAATCCAAGACATGGAGAAATAAGTTGCTCACTTGTGATATATTGTAAAAGTGGTTTACACTTCAAAAGATTCTGTGTATTTCTTCATCAGATCAAAGATTTGTGGTGAGGAAGAGTCCAGCTCTTCTTCAGGAGATGATCAACGTCGGCTGTCAGCTCACCATGATGGCCAACAGCAGAGGAGGTACACACAGCGACGGTCGCGGCCCGTACTCGGCGTCACGGTGCCTCCGTTTCCTTTATGCTAGAAATAACACGATTATTCGTCTCCAGGTTTCCCCGCTCCCAGACTGGTGACCATCGAGAATTGCATGAAGCTGACCCAAATGATCGTGCAGGGCCTGCAGGAGACCAAGTCGCCGTTGCTACAGCTCCCTCATTTCGAAGAGGAGCACCTTCGCTACTGCATTTCCAAAAAGGTAGGCTCCAACACAGGAAAGGAAAAGTTGCTCAAATCTGAGTGGTGGGTTGCTTTATTACTTTTTTTTTATTTTTATTTTTTTAAGGATTTATGATGATGGTAGACAAAATTAGAAGTTATTTTTAGCCTTGAAATACAAAACAAAAAGGATTAAATATGATTACTTCAGCAACAACAAAAATTATCATCTGTTTATGGCTTATTTTGTAGTTTAGCGTATTTGAGTTATTTATTTTGTATGAATCCTTAAGGAATTGTTCTGTTCCTTGTCCTCTGATGCGTGCCTGTGCAGTATAAGGTGCGGACGCTGCAGGACCTGGTGAGTCTGAAGGACTCGGACAGACGTAGCATGCTGCGTTTCCTTGGGGAGGAGAAGTACGACGAGGTCATGGCTGTGCTGGGCAGCTTCCCTCATATCACCATGGGCATCAAGCTGCAGGGTTAGTCCAGACAATATTTCACCTACATTTACTTCATGGGAACTTGTCTTCAAAGTGCTTCTGGGTGGAAAATGTGGCATTTTAAGTGTAGATTGGTTAAGTTTAGCAGCTATTCTTCTTTTTCTTTATGTTTGCTAGTCCTTGATGATGAGGACAGCAGTAACATCACCGCGGGTTCAATCGTCACAGTAACCGTCACCCTAACCAGGAAGCGTATGGCAGTAAGTATTTCTTAATGGAAAGAAATGTGTTTTTTGTGGTTTGTATGCCACTTCTGGTCACCAGTAGAGGGTGCAGTTTGCTATATTTAAGGTTTTAAAAGTGTCATGCCGTCCTACTGTTCATTGTTTGCAGGATATGTTTGAGAAGGAGCAGGAAGCATCAATATGTCAGGGAGAGGAGACAGCCAACACAGAGGAAGCAGTAAGGGTAACCCGCCATCTTTGATCTGCAGACGGAAAACTTTGTTAAAATCCCACCATAAATAAATGACAACTTTTAATCTCGTCTTAAATTCAGAATCAGGGAGACGCGAATAAAGCCAAAACTAAAGTTTGGCAGAGCAAGAACAAAGGGGCCAAGAAGACAGCCAAGTCCAAGAAGAAGAAATTAACCAAGAAGAAAGCGTTGCCCGCTCCCGTTAAAGGCAAGCAGGCTAATGGCAACGTAGCAGGAAATGTAAGCATCCTAAAATCTCGGCTGAATGCGACTCTTTGTAACAATGACGACTGTCTAGCGTCAGTTTATTGAGACGTTTACAATCTCTCAGGAAATGGCAGTCACAACATCAGCTGCAGCATCCGCGGCGAAGGATGAAGACGACGAAGCTTCAGATAAAGGCAGCGAGTCGGACGAAGGCGAAACCAACAAGGATTCCCCCAGCGAAAGAGACGACGAGAGCGACAAACAAAGCGACACCGAAGTCGACGAGGGGGGCGGAGACGACGAGGAGGTCAGCGTGACGCTTTCATCGACGCTAAAAGAGGGAACATGAGCTTGCCTTCAACTAAATGTCGTTTCATCCAACCTTTCAGGAGTGGGAGGCGCTGCAGCAGAGCATCCAGCGGCGAGAGCGGGCGCTGCTGGAAACCAAGTCGAAGGTGACGCACCCTGTCTACAGCCTTTACTTCCCAGAGGAGAAGCAGGAGTGGTGGTGGCTGTACATCGCCGACCGCAGAGATCAGACGCTCGTCTCCATGCCCTACCACGTCTGCACACTAAAAGACTCAGAGGAGGTGAGATCGTGCTTCTGGAAAGGTGTTGTGGAAAGTCGCTGCATTTTCCTCTCACTACTGTTATAAGTGAGGTGTTTTCAAAATAAAGTTGGGGGAAGCGGAAAATGTTAGTGTCTTATGTTGCGGAGAGAACAAATGTACTAATCACATACCGTTGTTCTTAATATTAAGCTCACATATTTGGTTTGAAAATCATTTATGGCTGCAACTAATAATTATTTTAGTTATCGATTAATTTATCAACAATTCTGATGATTAATTGGATTACAAAATTGGCACATTCTGCAGATTTTTCATTTAAACCTTTGTTGTACAGTATTAGAAATGCACTAAAAGATGCAGATAAACAATTCATTTCTTTTGTTAAATAAGCAAATAAACATTTGTCTAAAGTGCATTAACATAGTCCTTTAGTGAACTCTTGCTCATTTGTCACAAAGGATGCATCCGCAGATAAACAATACTTCTAACATTAACATGTGAAAAGCTCAGCTTTTTCTGCTTGAGTTAACGTCAGTACAGTGTGGGCTAACCTGTTTGTTCATTTTTTTAATTTACCGATTAATAATTGGGTAGCAAAATGTGGTGCCTAATAAGACTTTTTTCTTTTCTTTTTTTTTTGCTTTTTTTTTGCTTTTAAACAAAATTTGAACCAAGTGAAGCAAAAACTTAAGGAGTTTGGGGTTGAACATATTAACAAAGATTTTTTTCTTTGTTTTATCTTAAACGCAAAATGTATGTTCATTTTGCACACCTCTCTTTGCAAATGGCCTTTTTTTTAGATTACAAAATTGCTGACGATTATTTCAACAATCGATTCATCATGGTTTTTTTGTTTGTTTTTTTTATTTATTTATTTATTTTTTTTGCTCAAACTTTCTCATCGGTGCATCTCTAGTTTCTGTTGCACCCATCTACACATCCTCACCTCGTGTTGCTAGGCCAGGCCGGCCTTTGCACTCAGCATTGTTCCCTCCGAGGAGTTTGTGCATGTTTATCCTGAACAGTTTTCTCCAACAACAGCCCAGAGTGACGGGAAGGTAAAAGCTTAATGAGGGCTCCGTGTAACCAGCTGTCGCTACAGGAGCTGCCCCCTTTTCATGCATGACGGGTCTCTGGGTACCACTCTATTAGTCTGTCACCTCGATAGTTTCTCCTGTGTTTGCATTGTGGGATTTGAGGCTCTGCGTATTTGGCAGATGTGTTTCCGGCAGTCCAGACTTGTTGCTCCCCGCCCCACCGAACCAGACAGGGCTGTTGACAGCAGCCATGTTCAACTCGCTCACGATGAATAATAAAAAGCTTCATTGTGCTGATAATTAGATGTTTACTGTATGTATTTGCACAAGTTGCTAATCACAGCCTGATGTAGAATTGGTAATATGTATAGTAAAGCCCTGTCATCACCACGAGTTGGTTAATTTGTGCCTACGCACGTCACTGCCCCCTCCTTTTAGAAGACCAATGGAGCCATCTTTTTCTCTCTAAGAGATAGCAATGCAGTGGTTTTATGGAAACTCCATTTAAAAACTGTTCTGCTTCAGATTGCTGCAGCCTTGCGCAGAATCACATTTAATGGTAAATTACAATCTTAAAGCAATATTTTTCTTTCTGAGTTGACAAGAGGAGCAGGTCCAGTTGTAAACAAACACTTTAGACGGATTGTTTTGAAAAGACGATCATCAAAACAGGAGCTCGGCTGGAAACGCACTCACTCTAAGTACAGTTGCCAACAACCTGTGGGTTATAAGTCCCCTGTATATTTTCTTAATGGAAAGGATTAGAAGAAGCGTCTGGATAATATGGAGCTTTAAACAGGAAAAACGGCAAACACTAACGTTGTTGCTGACCTGATTTTACACCTAAGTAGTCCAGATTAGCCTAGCCAAGTTAATCCGACACCGGTGACAGATCACTGGATTAACTACAGGTTTATCAACAGATAATGGAGAGGAAGAGCCCAGTAAAGAGGTGAGGGGAGTGTCCTGGACCAAATTTGTCTCCATCACCTGCCAACAAGTTGGATTTGCATCCTCTTTGGATTGTGACCAGTAGCTAAAGGAACTTAACATGTTAGCTGCCCAGTTATAAAAGCAGAGGTTAACAGTGTTGGTTAGCTTCGCTTCAGGTAGTCTCACCAGTGTAGATTTGAAATTACAACAGCAAGGCGGCGAGTCATCCATGACACCGGTGTGTTGGAGATCTTTTACGGTTTTAAATATTGGATTATTTTTGCACTTACTCTGAGGTTCAGCGTTTATCTTGAAGTGCCCCACTTATCCTATTTTTTTTTTTTTTTAATTATGTGACAAATTTAAGTTGAATGAGTTTTTGTTTTGTTTTGGTAAATAACATTTTGGACATTTGAAATGAGGTTTGATTTATTTTGAAGAGTTAAGATCAGATCTTAGGATCCATTTAGTCAACGATCACGTCTGTTTTAAATGACTGCATCCTTTTAGGCATTTGATGCTTACTGCTTAGACACGGTACTTCATTAAAGTGTCTTCAGACTCGTATCTCTGCTTTGGGAGTTATTTGAAAATTAACCAGGATTTAGTTCAATTAAATGCGTTTCAAACTTTGTTCCTTCTTTTTGGTTTTGTTTTCCAGGTGGAGCTAAAGTTTCCAGCCCCATCCAAAGCAGGCAACTACCAGTACTCAGTCATCCTCCGTTCTGATTCCTACATGGGTCTGGACCAGTTCAAACCGCTTAAGGTGATGAGATGTTTATTCATATGTTCGTAGTGTGTTTTTTATTTTTATTTTCTTGCTGTATTTTACAGCAAATCTACATTATCTTTCCAGTTTGTATTTTTTCTTTGTCATTTTAAAACGGGCAAGAATTAAAACAAAAACTACAGCATTTTTCTGGTTTTGAATATTGTCAAAAAAATAAAAATATATTAAACTAATGCGATTCTACAAAACAATGATGGTGGCATTTGCTACTGGATTTCTGTTTAAATGAAGTATTCTAATAATTGGGTCATGTATGTAAATTTAAACACCAAAGAACATTGCAACTCAATCATAAAATATGTGTTGGTTATTGTTTTACCCGTTAGCATCAAGCACATTACAGTTACTGCCTTTAAAAAAAAGTTATCCAAAATTTTTCCACATCTGTTATATGTAATATTACTTTATTATGCATTATTGATATTTTAGTGACATGTTTATTGAACAAACTGACTTGCAAGTTGCAGGAAAAGCCAACAGGTGTATGAAAAAAATAAAGGGGACATATATTATAGGCATAAAAAAATAGAATAATAGACTTAATATTTTTTCCCCCAATCAAATTGTTTTTGATACATCAAGAAGTCTGTCAAAAGTACAATATTTTTCCCATTAAGAAGTAAAAAGCTTTCTAAAATAAGAGTAATTGGCAAGAATCCTTATTTTTGTCTTTCATTTGTGCTCCCAAAAATACCTACCCCATTCTGTCAAAGTTGTACTTTAACGCCAGCGCTGCCTGTGAGTAAGGCAGATAATTGCCAAATTATAATTAATCAAAAATTACCAATAAATTACAACTTTGTCAGTATTTGAATATTACTGGCTGTTCAGATTATTTGGATTCTGGCTGGATGAGCTAACAAACTAGAACTAGTCCACCCACCTCTGGGCTCATGTTTCTCTTTATCGTCTCGGCAACATCAGTAAATTTATTGCTGAACTATTTCTAAATGCCTAAGAAAACTTTTTTTTTTCTTTTTTTTTCTGTGTGTGTTTTCCTGTAGCTGGAGGTCCACGAGGCCAAGGCCATGGTGGACAACCACCCGCAGTGGGACATCCCCGACACGGAGGAGGAGGATGAGGAGCAGGAGGACAGCGACGGCATCGAGGAGAGCGACGACGAAGACGAGGACAACGACTGACGGGGCGGACGTGAACGTGTCGGGGGGAGGGGGGGCGTCCCCCGGAGCGACCGCCCCATCCACTCGTGACGAGGAGAAGCCGTGCCTGCCATAAACAAAAACACACAAATGAATAAATCACTGAGGAGAATTTCTACACTCAGAACCCGCAACCGTTTTACTTTTACAATGTCATAAACTGTGACCCCCGCAGCCCCTTTCGGGGGTCCTGCTCCCATCTCCCCCCCCCCCTTTCTATAGAGACTTTGTGTTTCATCGTCCGCTGCAGGCGGACGTTTCTGTGAATACTAACAGGCCTGAGCGTGTGAGTAAGTGAGTGTGTGTCTGGTGTGTAAAGTGTATGTGTTTGTACAGGTATGAGAGACAAAAAAACAAAAAAAAAAACAAACAAACTTTGGACTAAAGGACCTATTATTATTAAATGGGTTCTTTTCCTCGAGGCAGATAAATAACAGCTGCATCCATTTGCAAAACTAACAGAAACACACAAACTCTGTAAGGACGCTGTGCCCACTCTCGCTCTCGCTTTCTCGGTTTTAAAAGCGCCGATAATTTCCACACATCTATGAAACTTTCTGTTGTACACTTCATCTGCAGAGGCGTATATTAAAGAAGCATTTTCTCTTTTGAGTGCAGGGGTTGCACAAGTTTTCATTTTTTTGCCGTTTTCCTTTCTTTCCAGCATCACAACTGTATTTCATTTGTACTTTTTTTTTCTATGAATTTGTATGTTGGTTCTAAACGAGTCAAATGAAATAACCTGCAGTGTTAAGAGACCTATGTTTTTCTCCATTTGTCACATGAGGAAGTAGAAATGCTGCAGTCAAGCAGTCAGGGTAAAATCTGACTCTCTCCCCTTTATTATTAAGTGCATCAAAACAAAGATTTTACATTCATGCTGCACTTTTTGTTTGACTGCAATAAAAATCTGAAAGTTTAGAGTGAAATGGTTTGCAAAAATGGGGAAAATCTTGGAATTTCTTGTCTGTAAGCTTTGAAACTACTACCTCTATCAAAGTACCTTTTTTTTTTTATTGGTATGAACCATAAAAACCATGATCGGTGCATAAAAAACTGAGTGGTTTCAGCCATTTGAATTGACAAAAATAGTGATCTTTACTCCTGGCTTTTTGAAGTCAGGCATTACTTTGATTTCCTCTTTTCTTTCCACAGTTGTAGCACATTCCAGTGTAAGTCATTGTCCTACAAAGGCCTTACGAATACATCTGCTGAAGCACAGCGTACACGTCCTCTGCTGGTTCCCATGAGCAGATCGGGTTTATTTTCCCTGTAAAAAAACAAAACATCTTTATTGTTTATTTAGAGTAAAATATAGCTCCACATTGTTGGGATTGCATATCACTCACCTTGTCGTGAGGAGTTGGTTATTTTCCTTTTTTTGTGTGTGTGAAATATTTAGAGGTTTGAATGTGATGTTTCTGCCACACACACACACAACTAAACACATTTTTTGTTGGAATTTAATTTACTTTCATACTAATTGTTTTTCTTACCATACAGCAGAACCGGCTTTACTTTTGACTTGTTTTTAGACCTGAGGATTGAAAAGCAAATGGAGCTGTCTTTCATTTAAACTCTTCTTTTTTTTATTCTTTTGGAGCTACAGCATGTATTCAGTTTTGTTTTGTTGCGTTTTCATCTTTATTTGTAGACGTTTTAAGGAAAATCGGAGCTTCTTAGCACAGTTCTGTAAACTCTGTAACTCTGGAGTTTTAGTTCTTACAGTCTTTCACTAAGAAAATCTGTACATTTGTTTTTTTTTTGTTTTTTTTCCAGAGTGCATTTTGGTTTTGTCATGTTAAGCGTGGGAGATCTGAATTTCCGAACATTCAAAGGTCATGCTCCGTCACTAGAGCACAGCCACTTAGACAATTCCCCATTTTGTTACAGGTCAGAGCAGGTGTACACAAAAAGATACTCTTCCCTCTGCAACAGAATGTAGCATTGGTGAATTGCGCTGCATGGGGGGAAATTTAAACAAAACGCTGCATTGAGGCTCCACCGTTCCTCCCACAACCAACCGTATCCAGGTGACTGGCCTGCAGGCCGCCTCAGTTTGGACAAGCGACTACCCAAATGACTATTGATCTGCCACTTTTGTTTACAAAGAAGCTGTCATTGTAAATGGGGGGGGAAAAAAAAAATATATATATATATATATATTATTTGTATTTAAAATCATTTCAAATAAAAAAACTTTTAAATGAGTTCGCTTGTGATCTGGTCTTTACAGTTGTTCCTTGTGTAAGAAAATATTTCTTGCGCCGTTGAACTGCCGGACTTGTCATGGCGTACAGTTGGAGATTAGGTTTAAAATATCATGATAGGGTTACCAAATGTTCATTAAAACAAAATTCTTCCCCTGATTCAACCCTTAAAACAACTGAGTGTTTAAATCATCCTTTCTCCTTCCACTCAACATTCCAACAACATGCAATCTGTCAGCTCCTGTAGGAGTGAGGAGAGTGTATGTGAATGTATTTCTGAATGGAAGCTGTCCAGGCAGTATTTTGATTACCTAATACTCATAACTCTAGAAAGACAGAAATTTAATTTTTAACTATATTCCAACATCCACAATCAACCCAAATCTCTGTGTCTAATAATTTAGATTCACTTTTTATGGTTTATGGTTGATACCTTCTTTTAATGCATTATGTCTCACGTGTGGGGAAATAAATTGGGGGCTCAACGGCTTCGCAGGTGTGGGAATTCCCTCTCGGTACGTTTTGCAAATTTATACGAGTTTTTCCCAAGATAAAATAATTTGGTTGACATATCCTTTTTAGATAACAACTCGGTGTCTGCCCAAGAAGGGCATTCTGTAAGTATAAAATGGAAATTATGCTGCCCCTGACCCATATTAACCTCATAATTCAGCCACTTTAAACTCTGAAGCACTTCAATTACACAGCATTGTTTTCTGGAAAACGACGATGCAGCTTTTGAGCAAGATAGGAAAATCAGGCACGCCAAAATCCCCCACCCCATAAACGATCGTTTTACACTTATCAACCTGCGTCCAGGTGAGACCAACTCTGGTCAACGCTTTCGCATTGCGTGTTTTCTTTATTTGTGGAAAGGTGACACTGCGGTTCGTCTCCCGCCCACACAGAGTCCGAACACCGGCTTTCAGCAGCTTTCCTGCCGCATCTGCAGAGGACGAGAACCCGCGCTCGTCCAGCCAGGCGGACCGGGAGCCCTGCGCTCTTTTTGCGGCTCCTGCTGCTCCATGCTCCGGCTAACAGCCCCTCACCCAACCGGCCTGCGGTGCGCTGCCTCGGAAGCCTCGACCCTAATCAACCACATGGAGAAAGGTGAATAAAAATAGCATAGTAGAACCAAAGCCATGCTGCATTTTTGTTTACATCGACGGACACGCTGCATTATTTACATTAAGAAAATAAATTAATGACATTAAGAAACATGTAAGGGGGAAATAACTTACTTTGCAATGTTTTTCTTTATTCACGTGTGCATTTGTTAGACCGACTGAAGTCATACTTTTCAATCATCCGTGCTTCTGATTAATGTGTGCACTGCAACGTGCAAAGTAATTTAAAGAATATATTCAACGCGACACTATGTGTTATTTTTTTAATCAAGACAGTTGATTTTATATATCTAAGTATGCGAACAATGATAGTTTTATTAAGTTGTAGATATGTCACATACTTATGGACATAATTGGTTTTCTCTGCTTTAAGTCCGTTCAGTAGAAATGCAAAGACTTTTTTTTTTTTTTTTCAAAATACAAGTTGACTTTTGCATAATCTCAATAGCACCCTCCCACATTCACAGCAAAGATCAGAGGGAGAGGAAGATCATTTTAATACATATTTTAAATTACAACATTATTTTACCAGGCCTCGGTAAAATATTTTTTTATTATTTATTTTACCAAATGAATATTGGTAAAATATCGGTAGATCTAATGATTTCTAATGACCAATACATAATTAGATTTCTTGGTGTGAGTGATTGAACCTTTCAGCTTCTGACTGAGAAAAAACACAATTAGACTATATGTATACACACTTGTTTTCAACTGATATGTGGTTATAAAGCTCATTTGTCAGATTGACAACCTTTAAGATGCATAAGCAATTTCCAGCACGCCCACATTTCTGTATTCAGTTTTATTGTAATATTCTAGTCTTAAATGTTATGTTTTCATTAGCAGACAGTGATGCACGTAATGATTAGGTGATTGAACGGTAAACCTTACTTAACAAGAATTAGGAGAATGTGCCTGTGGAGCCCTTCAATGCACAGCAATGATGATGGCTGTGCTTGTTTTCTAGGGGTAGCTGCAGAAGTAGAGTGACTTCAAGCAGCACTTTAAAAAGCACTCCACTCAAAAGCCAGCAGTCTGCTTTCTTAGTTTAGTCAAAAATGATTCAATTCCATTTAGTTTATTTATTTATGAATTCTCAACAAATGTCATCTCGAGGCACTTTACGAAAAAAGTCATTTCAATTCAACCACACATACATTACATTTGGTCTTAGTTGTCAAACAGTGCATTAAGTTCAGTTCACTATTCAAATGAGTTTAAAATGTTTCTATCCAAGGAATCCCAGCAGAGCGCATTGAGTCATTGACTTCCAGCATTCACTCCACCTAGCATGTCGTGACATTAGACAATCACTTACACTCAACTGAAGCAGAAGAGCTGAGTATTTTCTGTGTTAATACAAATTACAAATTACAACCATAAAAAAAAGTTAAGAAAGCGTACTTTCAGTGTCAAAATGTTAAGCTAACGTTGTGGGGTAAGCTAACGTTAGCATTCCAAATTTGGTAGCAAAATCTAGCAGAGCAGAGTTGAGCACAATTAAATTAAAACTCATTGTTACATTGTTAGAAAACTGTGGTTAAATGGAAATGTGTTTATTCAGAAAACATAATTACACTATTATCTCTGACTGCTACTTAAATCAGCTAATTCCACAAGATAATTATTTCATGATAATATAGCTTCCCATTCTCTCTTATCAAACTTTATTTGGTGAAAATGTCTGACGCTTTTGTGTTAATGCGTGTATAGAAGTTCTATGTAATTATGTCCTCTGATAAAACAAGTTAGAGCTCTTTGAACATTTGAACAACAATAATGACAGAAATCCAATTTAATCCTGAAGAAAAAACAGAAAAGGCTAAAATTGCAAAGGATTGTCCTCGGTAAAATGAATAATAATTAGCAGAAAATAAGATTTGCTTACGGCATGGGATTTTGGCTTCATATTTTCCCCGATCTCCTCATTCCCATCCCTGCTTGACTTTTGTCCTGTGATATAAAAAGGAGAATAAAGCTTTGCTTGTTAATTTTAACCAGCTCCCTGGACGCCAAATTCCATTTCCTTTTTTTTGTCCTAAACACACATTGTTTCCGACACTTTGTCTACCATTAGCCTCCCGTTTGTTTGTGACGTCTGAACACATGCTGTTAGAATAACTCCTTTCCCACCTTTCATTCTCATTGTTTTTATTTGTTCATGTTCTGTCCTTCATCGTTTTATTTGACGTTAAACTAATTAAAACACAAAGGGGTGAAAGGTTTTCAAATTAATTTGTAGAAGCCTTAATGAATTGTTATTATTTCCTCCCGTAATTTAATCAGTGTGATGAGCGTCGTCCTTCCCCGGTGGACTGTGAGGGCATGAGACGGCGCGGTGGCCGTGATTTCACTACCGCCGACTCCAACCGGGAACTGGCTGCTCCGCCTCCTTCACCTCCTGTGACCTGGTTGCCCCCTGGCGGCCTCGGCAAGGGTGTTCGTTTGCGTCTGCGTCTAGATCGCCATGACCACCGGGGGCGGGGCTGCTGGCACCTAGTCGACCTGGAGGCAGAGTCAGAGCCGCTCGGGAAGAGACTGAGAAGCCCAGACCCGGAGGCCTGCATACAAAGTAAGGAGATTGCATCAATACAGTATCAACTTAGTATAGGCCTACCTAAAAAAAAAACATTTTTATTTCTTGTGACTTCACTTTGACTTAATTTAATGCATGTTCGTTCCTGTTTATGCGTGTATTTATTCACACCTTCTTGAGTGACTTTTGGAGCAGGGTCTGATTTAATCGACTGCTGTCATAGCAACGCCCTGCCTTTGCTGTAAATAAAATTCAGAGGGGGCTTATGGAAGCCTGCTCCCATATTGCGCTGATTAGAAAGCACACAAAAAAAAACAACACAAAAAAACAAATCAGTTTTGTATTCATCTAAGAGTGGGAATTTGAGAGTTGAAATTCAGCTACATAAATTATATGCTTTTATTTTGAAGTGTTTATGAGTGTGTAACTTTAGTTACATATACGTGAGAGTGTGTGAAATTCAGTGAACCATTTGCATGTGCTGTTTCCTTTTCCTTCACATAGGTGCAGAAAGATGCTAATCTCTTTTCCCTGAAGCCAGTGATTAAGTTATGCTAATAACTGTTGGTGCATTGCTGCGACTGTGACACCAACAGCTCCCTGACATCTCTTGTAACTCTCCCCTTTGCAAAAACAAACCAATGTCCTTTAATTGTGAAAATAAAAGATTAGCGTAAAGGTTCGCCAATCTCTTTAATTGCCTAATTAACCACAAACAAATTAGTCTTTGGTCCCGTGATGCATTGTGCAAGGTTGCAGCTCAGAGATGCAAATTTTTTTTTTTGTTTGTTTTTTCAAAAGCACCGCTGTTGTTGCTCATCGTTAATGAGCTCTCTCCTCTCATATTAGCCCATTTTTAACTGGGGGATGATTATCTGCTCTCGCCCGGCCTGCCTCCATGTGTAATGTGACGTGCTGGAATGGAGCAAGACTGATTGAGGATTGATGTTAGGATCTCAGCGTGTAATTACTATCCTGATTAATGGATGCCATCGCTGTGCGCACACGCGCACACACACACACACACACACACACACACATACACACACACACACACACACACACACACTCATGGGCTTCCTACGGTATCAGTCAGCGGAGAATTGGCATGCAGGCCATTTTCCTGTAAAGACAGTCAGGAGTTTAAGTCTCTAAACCATGTATTTTATTGTCACTAATTTTGGTGGTAGAGCAGCTTAAGAGCTGGAGTGTTTTTAGTATGAATGATGCAGTGGGTAATGTCCTTTTTTTAGTGCCCCACACAGCCACTCCCACCCTCCTCCCCCTTTCCATACATATACACATCAATTTTGATAGATATTTAGACATTTTCAGAAACTGATTTCAGAAACAGAAAATTAAGTTTTCCTATGTCTCAAGCAGGGTTTAAAGAAGCCTACTCTATGCCATAGAGTGGACATGGAAAAGTTTGCCTGAATTATTCAGAATTTAACCTCAGTTTCTATTGAGAATTTACATTTAAATGTAAACAACATCATCAGTTAGAAAGAAGAGCCTGACATTTGTAACCTGTAAGACAAAATAACAATTGTGGAGCCTGTTTTCTTCTCTGCAGGGGAACTACAGAGCCTTGCCTGAGGGGTTATTTTCCCCTTTGTGATTCTTTGCTTGTTTTTTTTTTTTTTTCTTTTTAATTATAAATACAACAATATCAGCATGCGGTAGTTAAAACAACTGCAGAAGAAGCCTGCAAACAAAAGGAAGAATGTGAGCTGTGATGGCAGAGAGATTTTTTCATTTATTTTTTTATCCAAAGCAGTGCAATCTTGAGAGGTTTCTGTTGTGATCATTTGATGTTTACAGGGAAAACTGACCTTTAACCTGACCTCTCCAAAAATAGCTTTAAAATGTTAGCGAAGACTCCAAAAAACTCTATAAAAAAGGATTTCATTCTTTGTGAATAAAGCTGAGATTTCAGTTTGCAACCCAAACGCCTTGCAGCACACAACACGGCGCGGTTTCAATCCTTTGTAAAGGTAAGAAACACCCCTGCAGCAACTGTAATTACATTATAGCTACACACACACACACACGTGCACGCACGCACGCACGCTAACACACACCCGTCACTTTGAGCTTAGCACGTCTGCCGGCTGCCACGGGATGTTAGAGGCGTGTTGCTATGACTACTGAAAGGGGACACACAGGAAGAGGGGGTTAGAGGAGAGGTGAAGAAAAAGAAGGGGTGGGGGCATTTGGGGTGGAGAGGGCGGAGATAGTGGCGGTGGTTGAGGGGGGGGGAGAGTAGTCCGAGAAAAATAAAGAGAGAAGGGCTTGTGGAGTTGAATGAGTGAGCGAGCAGCTGGGAACAAGCCGAGCTGTCAGGGGAGTATCCGGAAACCTGCAGCTGGTGGGAAGCGTCACTCGGAGTCAGGAATTACTAGACAGCTGTGCGCGTGCTAGGTAAGGCTCAGGATGATTCAGGGTCAGCTTCAAGCGTTTGTTTTTGTCTGTTTCAGTCAGCGGAAAAGAAAAGCGAAAACAAGTTGGCACCACCTAACGTGGTCCGTCTGTTTCTGTCACTCCCCGTCTGTTTATGCATTGACAAACGATGTGTGTGTTTCACATTTTATTTGCGGTGGAATCTAGATAGCTTTGGCATTTATGCAGACACAAACACACACACACAGAAAAATGCTTCTCTTTTTTTTTTTTTGCCTCAATGGAGCCAGAGTTGAAATTGAGTGAATATTTCAGATTATTCATCAGGTTTCATGAATACAGCAGAGGTGGTGCACTCTAACAGAAATAACCACTGAAATGAATGGCACTGAGACAAACACTCAAATCTACTGACAGCACACTTCATTGATTGGTAAATTGTGTGGGTGCTGTGGGTGTATGTGCTTCGCTTTTATTTCCTGTGTTTGTGTAAGACTCTTCTGTATGCGTGTGTGTGTATTTATGTGTGCACGGCTTTGTCTGTCTCTTGCAGAGCAGTAATGATATTTATTGCAATCTTTGCAGCTGGAGAGGGGGAGGGGTGCGGTTGAGTACAAAGCTTTATGTGGCTTTGTTTCTATTTCCTATCATTTCTCTTTGCGTGTTTATGAAAGCGTGTTTGCGTGTGTGTGTGTGTGTGTGTGGAGGTTCAAGTCGCATGTCTAGGTGCGATTAACAGGCTCTCGCTCGCTACTTCCAGTTTGTGCTAAGGAGCATCTCGCTCTTTCCCAGGTCGGATGAGTACCCTGTCTGCCGGCTTGGAGATGCAAACTTCAACCCTGGAAGCTCAGTTCATCGTGGCACCCCAGGCTAAAGTAACTGGCCGGAAGAGAGGACGGCCTCCTATCCGGAAGCTGGACTTCCAGAGCCACTATGTGGATTCTTTATCGCCCTTGAAGGTTCCAAAGAAGAGAGGAAGGAAACCCGGCTTTAAGGTAAATTAACAGCATGTTTGTTCAAATTACAGCTTCTGGAATTATCGTTTTTCTTTCTTTGAGAGTTAAACATTTGTTTCTCAAGCTGTGTGGGAAATACCACTGCGGTTATCTGTGTATCTACACAGGATGTAACTATGTAAAGAATCTGTGTTTTTCACTGCACAAAGGCTATCCCTCTCAGAGGCTGCACGAGAAATGACTGAACATTAAGGAACTGTAGAGCAATGTGTGGGTTTTTTTGTAATAGAGTAGGTTCACTGAGAAAAGTATACATTGGTTTTCAGAAAATATGTTGAAGTAAGCTGAAATCCCTGGAAGATTGAGCTACAAATATCTCGAAATATACTGAAATTAATTATTTCTGAGTGCAGCTAGTAAAAGTCCCAGATTCGAGCTCTCAGAACAAAAGAATATGACATAAACAAATTAAAACATGTTTTGGCCATTTTGTGGCCTGAATAATCATTGCCAGCTGTCAGGCAGTCAGTGACATGCTCCACAATGAAGGTAAGCCACAAAACATCAATGCTGGGAGTTCATGGAGTGCTGTATGTGAGCATGTTAATGGAAAGTTTAGTGGAAGGAAGCGTTCAGTTGAAATATCTGTCACTTTTGTTTGTGTTAAAGTCTTCATGAAGTAAAAAGTAATGCCTAAATTCTCATATATGAGACTTTTAGGTCAGGCTTGCACATTTTGCACAATTCACCCGTGATTGTAAAGTATGTAGAAGTGCAATGTTGGTACAGTAGAGAAGAACTGAAGAGGAAGCCCTTCTGCACAGAATACTTCCTCTTGATTTAGTAACAATATTAAATAAGATCATGATCAAATTAATTTGTAATCACAGCACACCCATAATACCAGTACATTACATCAGATTTTCACACTCAGAACAATTTCTGGGTCATGTAAACCAGATTAATCAAAAATTAAAATATATTTTCTTCCCTGTGCCCCACTTTTCCACTTGGTGCTTTTGATCTAAAATCAAATAAATTTTTGTATTTCTGAGTAGAAAATGTAAAAACTTTTTGGTATCAAATTCATAAACAAATAACAAAATAACTTTTCTGTGATTGATTTCCATTTGTTAACTTTTGTGAAAAATAAGGAACTGACTTGGAGACTTAACTTGAATATGGAGATAATTTTAGAGCATAGTTCTCAACCACTGGTAGCATTATCTATATGCTAATTTGTGACTAGAAAACTTAAATTAAATAATAATTGCTACATACTAGTCCCACCGTCCTTTAACTTTGGGTCGGTCCATCTCTTTTTATCCTATGAGCCACAATGTGATCTCTTTTTGAAAGTTTCTTTGTCATCATAAAATCTCTTCTGTCAGCCTATTTCATTAAGAGTTTATTACAGAGCTCCATCGTTTTCTATTTTCTGGGAATTAGAACACAGTAGAAAACCTGGCAGAAAATCATGTCATTTAGATGAAAAGCAGAATTATTATTATTTTCTTTTAACATATTTAAGTTCCTGCAGGCTGTTCTTCCTGTCATCAACCTGCAGCAGTGACATGCAGACACTGATTAGTCTGTCTGTAAACATGAAGCTTCCTCAAACAGAATCTTACGGAGTACTTTTGTGGCTAAATCTACTGATAAGCTCAGAATAGGTTAAGTAGTGTAGCAAAGATTAGCATGAGAATACAAGATTTATTTTTATTTTTTTTCTGGAGATTGGATTAGTAGGTTTTTAATGGCTTAATAAGGAGCAAGTATTTATGAGAATGGAACGCATTCAGTTCCTTGAATTGCAACCCTCTTATGACATTGGCACAGTGAAACTGCCCCAGTGGGTAAACTAAAACAAACATTTTCCTAACAAGCAATCTCATAGTCATTTCCACACCTTCTTCAAGAACATTTTGAGCTGCAGGCATAAACCAACGTGTATGGCAATATCAAAAGCAGGATTGTCTTAGTGGATTGTGGAGCCAACAGACAAAGTGTAAAAACTAGATTACATTTTGAAACAGCAGCTGGTTCATCTTTAGAGGCTAGTTTTGAGGTGTTGCTACGTTACACCCTAGGTGTTTGTACATTACTATGTGTTCTGTGTAGAAGTAAAGACAGTAATTTTCATTCATCCTGTCTGCTCTGTTTTGTTCTTAAGAGAACCATAGAATCTGTAGAAAAGCAGAATTAATTTCCAAACGTGTACGTGTTACGCGTCTTACCTGTGCAGCTGAAGCCCAGGACGGCGATGCCCTCACTCGCCAACTCTCCTCCCAACAGCACGCCAGAACCTGAGATGGGGTCCATCCCACAAGACGCTGCTATCGTCCCCCACTCTGCCACACCACAGGTCCTAACAGGTACACACACACACACACTCGTATACAAATATAAGCTTTTCAGTATAAACAGGTCTCACCTACTTTTTTTTTTTTTTTTTTTTTTTTTATTTTTTTACAACCATGGGGCTCTAAATTTTTTTCCGTTCCTTCATCTTTTCTTTCTACTGATAGGAACTCTAATTGGGATAAATGCATCCATCTTTATGCAAACATCATGTGTCTGCTTTGATCTGTGAAGGCATGAGTCCCAGGCTGTCTGATTACAAATAAATTCAAATGCACCCATATTCTTATTGGCATAATTTAATTTAAACACAACCTTCAAACACAAGCATGCATTTTGCTTTTCCATTAAGTCATTTAAAGTAGATTCAAAGTTTTTTTTTTTTTTTTTTCCCCCCCAATTATAACTGACAAACCGGAAATTCTAGTTTCATAAATCCATCTGTGTTTTTGTGTCCCTTTTTATTAAAAAAGCAAACAATCTGAATATTGCCTTGGGTATATTTGACATTGGAGGAGGAGTCGCATGTTTTGAAGACTGGCCTTTTGCTCTTCGTCTTTGATGTCAGACTGTAGACTTCCTGAGAAAAAGCAAACATGTGCAAAAAGGCTCATGCATGAATCAGTGAGCTCCCTGCGGTGCCACCCAGATACATATGTAAATCATGTGTGTGGTTAAATAGAGAAGCTCTTTAAAACATGTCCTGTACTTTCAGCTGCAATTTGTAGAACACAGGCAATTGTGAATTGTTCGTCCTGTAATAAAAAAGGATTTCGATATATATTTTTTTCTGTTTCATTAAAGTATTTAGCAATTGCCAGTAAATAAAGACGCCAGTTCTGTTCTTTGTGTGTGCAGTAAAAATATGACAAGTGTGCGTGCGTTAGTACATAATCTTCCATATTCATTCTCACAGATCTTATCTCATAATTGATTTTTCTGAATACAATAAAATACGTTTGACCTTTGCAGAAGCACGCTGTTGAGGTAATCCAGAGGCGTCTCTGTGGAGTGTTTCCCGTCTTATAAATCCGCCGTCTGGCAAATCCATAACCGCCTCGCTCGGGCAAAACCAGAAGGCATCTGCATTATCGACAAGCTGAAAATTGGTCGACACAAAGGAAACAAATACAGAGGATTTACTGTCTGTGACTCTTCCATTTTATATCCACACAAAGAATGGGCTGTGATAGCTGCCCTGAAGATTAGCTCTTTATTTTTATATTTGCAAATTAAAGTGGTTTGTATGGGGGAACAAAAAAACAACAACTGCTGTCTGATGCTGTAGAAAGGAAAGTAAGATAATCATATTTTTGACAGAGACGGAACTCCGTACAAAAGTACATATGGCAAAACAATATTCAGATGTTTGAGATAAAGAAATAGACTGATTTCTGTATAAAAAAAAGCCATAAAATAAATGTATTTGGTCAGGCATATTCATACACAGGAAATTACAAAAACACAATTTTAGTATCTTTTTCCGTTCCCCAGAACTATCACTGCCCCACAAAATTGAATCAACTCTGATATTTAATTGAAAAAAAAAAAAAAAAAAAAAAAAAAAAAACAAAAAAAAAAAAACAACTTGTATGAAGGTTTCTGTATTCTGATTTTCCATGTCCCATTGGGAACTTCAACCAATTGCTCTTCAGAATAATGGTCCAGCTCATCAGTCTGTTGAAGGAGCCTTTATTCTTTATTCTTCTTTATTCATTTGTATTATTATATAAACCAAACATGACCATGTGTTAAAAATATGTCTAGCTTTTTCAATTTCTAGGAGAAAATTGGCACATATATAGTTACTCTATAGTAACCTTTGCAAGACTTGAGAATGAGATTTGTTCTGAGATGTGAGCACAGATTAAAGTCAGTAACCCAAATTGGTGATTTGGCTCAATTTATTATTTGTTTGTTTCCCCAGTTGACTTACTTACACACATTGGAATTTAAATTAAGTTTCTCCTGTTAAGTTTTTTTTTTTCTTCCGTCTTCCAGGTTAGTTCATTTTAAACCAACTGACAACTCTAGTAAAGAAGTCAAATGTTGATTCTAAATAAGTTTGCAACTTCCTGTTTTCCTTCTCTCAGCAGACACACCCCTGCCTGATGATTTCATCTGTGACCCGCCTGCAGACAAGCGCTACACCATAGATCTGAGTGACTCTGCGTTCAACATCATGGCATCGCAGTACCAAACCAAGCCTTCTTATATTTACCGCAGCAACAGCTGCTCCACTCCAATAGGTTTATGCAGACAGCTTTCCAGTCCGGCGACTTTTCAGGATGGAAATAGAACCGGTGAGACAACTTAGGCTGTTAATGGGTTTTTAAAAACTCATTATGAGCATTTGATAAAGAATAATGGGGGAGAATGGTGATTCCCCCCCCCCTTTATTCACTCGCAGTTGTGAAGTTTATCTTGATTAAATCATCATACATGTTTTATTAATTATCTACAAAGATTTTCCAGACTAATTACTAAACAATTTGAGCATCATTTTTAAAGTCTGTACCTGTATTTCTATTTTGAATTCTCTGGCAGTGTTGCACTATCCCTTGAATGTCACTTTTTTTTTTTTTACTTCAGAAGGTGAAAGGCAAAACAAAACCAACTAGTGCATGTGAAATAGCTTTTGCCTTTCTTTATTCCTCTATTTAAACATGTGACACATTGCATCTGTCTTTCACTTCTGTCTAGCTCTTGAAGTGTATTAAATCACAGTTCGACTTCCTTCCCGTCACTTGCAGTCAAAGTTGCTTCCTTTGTTCAAAATGTGCTTCATTTTAGATTTCCTTATTTATGTTAAAGATTATTTAAAAGAAAATCTAAGCAATTTTAAGACTCACATTTGACTAGAATGTACTTTATCTTCTCCAAAAAAAATAAAAAATAGGTGTCTTTAGTGTTTTCATGATACTAAGGCCCATCATTTTTGCTTTTTTTGTGTCCTCCATGTTAAACAGCCCTCACTCCTTTGCCAGACGCTGGAGAGGGCAAGCGTCTTGCTGGGAAGGACCCGTCCAACTGGGGTGTAGAGGACGTAGTGTGGTTCATCAAAGAAGCTGACCCTCAAGCCCTGGCACCCCATGCCGAGGCTTTCAGGAAACATGTGAGTTCAGACTTTTAGTTTTTGGTTTTCCGGTTTTAGTAAGAAGGAGTTTTTAACAAAGAAACTTGGATAGAGGATTATTTTTAACCAGCAATCACAAAAGTTCAGTTTACCTGATTATTTGCTATTAAAGGAATAGTTCAGGATTTTTTATGTGACCTTTTGTTATTAGATAATAGACAGTTAATATAATAGCTTCAAAAAATAATGCTTCTAGCATCTTAGTTTAGTTAAGACCAAACAAGATTTACTCTTTCAAACTGACTTAAAACTCCAAAAGATCATAATTATTTTTGGATATACTACTTATTGAACCTTTAAACTGTTTAAAAGTTCACAAAATAGCTGTGCCATAAACCAGAGATCGGAGGGTTTTAAGATGGTAGATATCCACTTTGGTTTTAGTCTCTTTCAGCCTGGCTGTGAGCTTTAGCCTATAGATCCAGTAAATCTGGAACATAATTATCTTCTTAAGATGAGATGTTAACTGTGGGTAACCTTTTAACAAGACCTTACTTCAGAATTTATGAACCGTCTCTTTAAAGTGTTAAAGAAGCATTGATTTTAATCTGTCTGGTATGCGTTTTGCGTTTCAGGAAATAGACGGAGACGCACTCTTGCTGCTGAAAAGCGAGATGATGATGAAGTACCTGGGACTGAAACTGGGACCTGCGCTCAAACTCTGTTACCACATCGACAGGCTCAGACAGAATCGCTAGTAATTTCCTGTAAGAGAACTGAAGGCTGAAAAAAAAAAAAAACAAACAAACAAAGAAAAAAACCACCTCAATGTCCTGAATATGAGGTGAAATTGAAACCTTGGTGCTTTCACTGCATCTGAACCACTTTTTGTTGACTGAACATTTTATATGTACTTACTGGGACTATTTGCAACTTTGTTTACTTACCAGCAATACTTGAGTGGCTTTGAATTGCAAATAGTTTTGCTACATACAAATGTCAGCTAACATGAACCATAAGCAGCATTAATTTAAGCAAACCATAATCATAGTCATAGAGTGCTCCACTAAAGGTCTACAAAGAAAAAACTTATCACGGTGTTTTACCTCATTATCGTTTTTAAACTCAGCAGTATTGCTCAGTTCTTCAGCTGCTTGTTTTACATTTTCTTTCGAAATTTTTTTCCCCAGGTTGGAATTGTACAAATATATTTTTAAATTTTTGATTTTGAAATTGTCTGGCAGGGAACAGCTGCTGGTGTATTATCCAGGTTTTCCTGTTGTCTGACAAGTTCGCTAGCAAATGATGGTAGACAAAGAAAATGATCTGTGAACATTTTATCTCCACAAACTGCTGTATAGCACAATGGATCAGTGGTACTGTATTTCTCAAATAAGAACTCCCTTTAAAAATTGAAAGAAAAAAAAATAAGCTCATGTAACTTGGTGCTGCCACTACATCTACACTCAACATAACTAAATCATATCTTGTATTAATGTCTAATTCTAACTTAATAGCTTGCCATTCTTGTTGCACAGTACCTTATTTCATGCCATTCTGAGCATAAATGCCTCCGCTGAAGGAGTAATTGGTCGTAAAATTTAAAAAGAGGCTAAGTAGCATTGAGAGTTTTCTCATGTGATGCTGTATGACAAACTTCTGGTTAAACTTAATCTTATGCTGTGCAAGACAAACTTGTGACCTATGTGTTAAACTTAAAGTTAACTTTTTATTAAATATGTTTTTTTTCTCTCTCTTTTTTTTTTTTACCTTGCTATATGGTTCTGGTTATTTGTATTTAGATAAGGTACATGATGGGTAATTATGACTTCTCAATGTTTTTATTGTCCACTTTCCCAACAAACCCTATCAAGCTTACTACATAGATCTGTTGTAAAACAAAGAGGTCCTGCATTCTGGGGTGGTGGCTATTTTATAACCTAATCCTCCTACCTTAGCTTTATTTCTGACCTATCTGGTGTGTTGCTTGGTCTTCATAATGCTTGTTCACTATTGTTCTTCACCAAAACTCTGTTCTTATTAGAACATCTGTATTTATACTGAGAACTAAGTGCACACAGGTGAACTTCATTAACTAAGTAGGTGAGGTCATGAAAGGAATTGGGTTCACCAGATTGTCTTTAAGGGCATAACAGTAAAGAGAGGCTGTATTAAAAAAGGCTATGACATACATTTTTATTTGTAAAAAAAACAAAACAAAAAAAAAACAAAGAAGTGAAAACAACTCTTTCCCTTTCACTTTGTTTCTGATCATTACATAAAATAGCAATAAAATTCATTGACGTTAGTTGTAATGTGACAAAATTCCTAAGTGCTCAGACTCAATTTAAATTTTATAAAATGGCAGCTTAACTAATAACTTCCAAATACTAATATAAAAGTATTTTTTTTTACCCCCAATTTTGTCAGTAACTTTTGAGTAAAGCCAAAAATAATCGCTGGAAAATAACTTTTATTTTGAAAAGAAGCTTACGTTGTGTTGCGTAGAAAGCCGTTGTTTCCGGTATCCTGCACGCACAGTTAGCTGCCAGAGGTGAACATGGGAGACGTGTCGGAGAGGACCTTGCAGTGTGCCGTGGTGTTTTCTTTTGCCGTGGGCTTCTTGACGGGCTGGCAGGCCAACAGAATGAGGAGGAGGTTCCTGGACTGGAGGAAGAAGCGGCTACAGGATAAACTGTCGGAGACGCAGAAGAAGCTGGACTTGGCTTAAATGGTAATGTGACTTCAGAGTTCACCTTAATGTCTTTGATCTATGGGAATTACCAATTACAAGCATACATTAGTGAGGCATTTTCCGCATTTAATTACGTATTTTTTTTTATTTATTTGGCAGGTCGGCTGTGTGCTCCGTGAAGCCGGTTCATCCCGGTTGTCCTTCATTTTTGGTCTTACCACACCCTGCACAACAAGTTTAATCATGATGCCTGCCAAGCTCTCTTGAAGACTTCTATCAAAAGAAACATATCATGTGGACATGTAATATATAGAAGTTTGTCATTTGTCTTTATAGCAGTGAGACTTTTTCATATACAATGCTAATAAATTATTATATTTTTCTTCTGCTTTCGTTACTTTTTGAAGGATAGTATTTCACGGGGTTACACACATTGACGTGTGACTAATAGTTAAATATTTACAGATTTACCTCTTACTGAACGGTGTAGTTTGCGAGATTTTAACACATTTGTGGTAGTAACTCGTCGCCGTGAAAAACCGAATAATACATGTTACTGGTGTGATTGGGCCATCTGCTGGATGGGAAAGGACATTACAGCCAATTATGATTAATCACCCATCGATATATCTTGTATCAGAGCAAAATGTAAGAGACTGACAATGACAACAACTTAGCCATGCAGTGGTAAAATCTGAGAGTGAGGTCAGCAGATGCTGAAGAGCAAAGTGTACAGAGGCTGGCAACTTTTTTGCTGAATCAATAGGTATGACCTATATTTTTATAAGAATAATTATAAACATCCAAGGCAGTAAGGGCTTTCCAATTAACTCATTGTTGGTGTTTATAAGCTGTGAGAAGAAAACTGGAATATCTATGGAAAACCCACAAAGGGAAATCTTCAGAGAGAAAGATTAATTGAGGTGTTGAAGTGACCAAATGTCTACTATGCAACTCAGCAAAGCCCTGCTCTTAAATTTTCTGGAAAAAAAATAAAATATTTCGGCGTTGCAGTGAGACCTTACACTTCTTCCTGCATAATTTATGAGAATAAAACATCAAAACAATTTTAGATTTGCAATCCATTGAAAATTTTGCAGCATTTTAAGAATAACGCACTTTTAACACATTAGAAACAGCATATACACGACTAATATTTTGTCAAAATTTCTCTACAATTTCTTGTTTGTTACTTTTTCATTAGTTCTGATTGATGGAGATGGCGTACATCTCTGTCGGTTGTGTGGTAGGGAAAGGCCCAATGTGTTAGTCCTCTAATATAAAAACAATCCTGCAGCTCAGGAGACGGCTGCAGGCTGCTCTTTGCAACTGCTTTGCTACTATCACCACCTCAAACTCCATTTGGGTCAATACCCAACACCGTCTTCAATTAAACATCAGTCAAATTTAAAGCGATGTACACAGATAAAAAGTTTTATAGTTTACTTCAAATGTCAAAGTACAGACAAAGGGAAATGAGAGAAAAAACTAAAAATACATTTTTTTCATAAGTCATGATTCAAATTATAGCAAAGTCATGTGACGTTCTGGGTCATATTTACCCTTACAACCTGTCCTTAGAAAAAACATTTAAATGGTCTGGGAAGTTGGTGATCTACTCTTGTTTTAAAGCATATAAATAATTCTGTCTGTTTTGAACTGGTGAGCCTGATTTAAATTCTCTCCTGTAAATGTTGATCGCTCTGAGCCTGCCTGTAGGGGGAGCTGGTGCTCTTTCACAATCTACGCTTAAGATTGCCTGCAGCATTCCGAGCTTTGACTCTGAAATTAGATCTTTTGAGCAGATCTCTCTTTTTCATCATCACCAGATGAGCAGCCCTATTACTATGTCTCAACAAGCTTTTGACACAACCTTAAAACGTCCTTTTTTTTTTTTTCCTGTTGCACTACATCAGTGACTTGAGAGGCAAGTGAAGAGGGGTTATCAGCAGATGAGGTGGAGCTTAACTCATCCAAGAACATGCATATATAATGCATATGTATGTTTCAATTTACATGCATATATTTTCCATGTTTCTCTGTATTTTCAGGGACTAGAAGTGGCATAAAAATGATTTCTTGAGGAGATTTTAGGAGATGATCCAGCACGTCCTATAAGGGAAGAAAAAAGTGACTGAGGGTGACTTTTAATTAACTCAATTGGTTTAATTCAAGCCTAATATGCCCCTAGTTTGGGGTATATTCTACTAAGGTAATGTAAATATGTCACATAAAATTGTGTGAAGATGTTGTAGACAGCTCGTAGGACTGTTCCCCTGTGAACTGTTTTTGGCATTTTCACCATAGAAAACTTGGATTGTCCTGAGAGTTGCCTGCTGCTGCAAAAAAAAAAAAAAAAAAAAAATTTTGTTTAAAAGGGCTATTGCAAAAAGAAGACCATAAAAAAAAACAACCTTCTGCCTTGCATCCATACTTAATATTAAATGTGGGGTAAAACTAACACTGAAAATCACACGTGGCGAAGGATGGTGGTGGCATCTTTAATGGAGAATGTAAAGCTTACAGATCATAGAATGGTTTCAATCAAATCATATCATAGTGTTAAAAGTCCCAGTCAAAGTCCAGACCTAAATCTAATAGAGAAACTGTACCAAAAATGTAAAACTGATGTTCGCAGATGCTCTTTTTCCAGCCTGACTGCGATTGAGTTGTTTCAGAAAGAATAACGAACAGAAGGTCTGGTATTGAGATTTAGCTAGGCTCGTGGAGACATACCCCAAAACTAATTTCTACTTCTCTCGTGGAAAACATGGGGAATCACAAGGTCAGGATTATAAAATCAATATAATTTATGTCAAAAAAATAATCCAGTGACATAAATTTTATCTGTTGATAATGAATGTATACAGATGTATAATGAGTTTTGTCATTACATAAAAAGTGAATTACCCGAGTTTTGAAAAGTAAAATTGAAAGGATTGGCAAGCAGCTCAGCAGCACTTAAAAAAGTGTGGCCATGTGCACCCTTTGAGTGGAGAAACGTGAAACTTTTTTTTTTTGGTCTTGGATTCTAGACAGGGTTTTATTGTCCCTCAGTGTCTAATGCTGCTACTAAATTGTGATGAATAGCTTTCTGGAGTGCAGTGCGAGCGCATGCATGTGTGTCGACGCCAACTGTCTCTTCCTTGTTTATTTTGAGACAAGCTGTGCATTATTGTGTGCAACAGGCAGTGCTGGTGCGTGGGGCTCGGATGCGTTTTCAAAGCGAGGCGAGGCGGCTTAGTGACTCGAGGAGATAATGCGCGGCAGTAAGGGTTCACATTGACTGCTGTGATTGATCTGATTTTCCTAATTGGCACGAAGACCTTAGAGCGTGTGTCCTTCGTCTATATTGAGTGTGCTCAGGGAGTGTCATGTTTAATAAGCTCCTTGATTGGCTTTCTGGTTGTGTGATTGTGCCCTCTGGCCATCGGAGGGGGGAGTGGAAGGGAGCAGAGGAGACAAGAGAGGAGAAAAGGAGATTTTTACAATCCAAATGTCAAAGGAAGCAGATAAATAATGAAAGGCTTCTGCTGTGGTAGCAATAAATAGGTGTTATATGAGATGGAAGGAGGTGGAGAGAAAAAAAGATTGTAATGTGATGACATCTACCAGTCCCGTTGTGCTGCTGCTTCTGAAAATAATGGGCAGTAGTGAAGATTTTTAAGCAGTTAATACACACAGTCACACAACACACATGCCTGTAAACAATTTGGAAAGCCTAGATGAGGATTTCATGGCTTTGTAAGCCTCTTTGTGAGGAATGCTTTGCCCTGATTGCGTTCAGAAAGGAGGCAGGTTCTGTGTCTTGGAGATGAACGCGTCTCTGTGTGAATTGTGTGTATCAGCCTAAGAACAACAGCATAACCCTTGTGAAGAGTCTGGCTGAACATTATAAGAGAGTGGTATTAACCACAGTGAAACAAGTCCTGCACATACATGGGTTGGAAGGTCACTCAATGACGCAAAAGCTGTTACTCTATAAGGAACATAAAAACTCTGATTTTAGTTTGTGAATGCACACAGCTAGAAAAAGAGAATACGCATTTTTAAGACATATTTTCTGATCTGATAAAAAGTAATGACCATTTGAAGCAATTGGGCAGATGGTTGTTTGGGGCTTTTGTTAGGATCTTGGGTTGTTTCAAGATTTGTTGATTGTTCTGTGTTCCTTAGTCTCTCTGTGATTTGATTCCTCTGGTCTCTGTTTTATTTTAGTTCAGTCCTTCTTGGTGATTCTAGTTTATTTCTTTTCTCTAGTCATTCATTGTTACTCTAGTTTGATTACGTTCCTTATGTCTACTCGTTTTTTATTTCCCGGCCCCCTCCATACTCTCCCTCGCCCCCTGTACCACTTTCTCTCCCACTTTCTGCCCAGCCAATCAGCCCAGGTCCATTGTTCCACATTACTTATAAACACTTCTGCTCCTCTCAGTTTACTTCTGTTAATTCCTGTTTAATCCCTGGTCATGCTCATTGTGCTTTTGTTTGTTCCTGATATATATATATATATATATATATATATATATATATATATATATATATATATATATATATATATATATATATATATATATATTTTTTTTTTTTTTTTTTTTTTTTTTTTTCCTCTGGCTCCCTGTGTTTCCCTTTTTTTTTTTTAAGTTTTTTTCCCCCTT